CTCCGATCAGTCTTATGTTATTCTTCTTTGCATCATCTAGCAGCTGCTGGATTGATTTCTCATGGTCCCTTACAATTTTAAAGAAATTTTTCTTTTCCTGGTTACTAATTGCAATCTTATTTTCTATATCTGAAATTTTGTCCTCACACTGGCTCATTCTGCTGTGTAGACTTTCAATGGAGTTTTTAATTTCCTGGAAATCTGTTTGCATGTTTTATGGGTTCCATTTGTTTCCTATGTTGGGATTCCATCATGTTCCTCAGCTCCCCCATTTTTTTTATGTGTCCTTTTTAGATTTATTAACCATGTGTTGCACTATGGGCACAATCTCTGCTGTTATCTGAGAAATTATTTCTGATTTCATTTTTTCCAGATCCTTTTGTTGCCAGTTCAGGGAGTCCAGGTAGTTGCATATCAGATTGTTCCATCTTGTTTCCCTTTGGGGTTGCTGAAGGTGATCTGGAAGTCTGGTTTTGAGTTGTGTTTACATATATTCTCATTTTGATGAAGGGGGGGGGGTGTTGCTGGCACCTTCAGGGCTCACCTCCTCGGCGCTGGGAGCAGTGCTATGGCAGCCTAGGAGCCTCTTCCTTTGTGCTGGGAGTGGTAGTAAGGCAGTCCGGAAGCCTCCTCCCCTGAATCAGCCATCTCAAGAGCAGCCTGGCAGATAGAAGCCACAGCTTCACCTCAGCTCCCAGCGGGTCACCAAGCTCCCAGTGCTCTCCGAAAAGTATCATCTTATATGAATTCCCTTGAACATATATAGATCTTATAGAATCATTGGTTCAAAGCAGATGTTTACCTTCTGCTATGGTTTGTTTGGATGTCCCCCCAAAGCCTCATGTTTTTGCTGAATCTAGAGTGTGTGATTGATCCGTGGTGGGGCTAGGTCCGAGGGCACTAGGATTAAGGGCATGAGTGGTACTGTCCCAAGTAGTCTGCATAAAAGGGGCAGAGACACTGTTAAGGTGCCTTGGTGCTTCTGCTGTCTTCCACAACCATGAACTGCTGCCACTCTGCCACCCTGCCTTGGAGCCAGCTGATTACAGACTGAAACCTCTATAAACTGTGAGCTAAATAAGCCCTTTCCCCTTTAACTGTGGGGGTTGGGTATTTTGTCTCAACAAGAGAGAAAAGTAACTAAGACACTTTCTCTTTACTAGATTCAAAATAGATGTATCAATAATTTATACTCATACTAGCAGTGCATTGGAGTTCCCATTTCTTTAAATACTTTTCAACACCAGAGGGTGCTGACATTAATATGGAATCTTACATGTGAAATTAAAGAAATGCACAATGAAATGACATCACTTCTTAAAATGGCTGAAAATAAAATGAAGAATATCACAATAATACTACCTAATGCTGAAGAGGGGGAAGGACAAGTGCAACTCTGTATATGGCTGGTCAGAATGTAAGGCAGTAGTCACATGACCTAGCAACTTCACGCCTAGGTACTTACCTGAAAAGACTGAAAACCACATCTATATGAAAAGCTCTATGTATATACAGTAGATTTACACATAATTATTAAACTCTCGTCAGAAAAGTTTGTGTCTACTTGGGATTAAGTGTGGCTAGGGATGAAAGTGGAGCACCATTCAAGGAAGTTAGGACCCTGTGGGAACAGTGCCCGTCAAAAGAACATGCCCACAAAAATCTGAGTATACTCACTATCACTTGACAGAACTTAGTATCATGTTATATACAGGGCCAGTCCCTGGAGATCATGGCCCCTTCGAGGAGACTGTTAAAAATCAATTGTGGCCTGCCCACAAATATCCTTGGAAGCCAAGAAAAACTCCAATAATTTCTTATCTTCCATCAGGACCAAAAAAAGTCATTTAGATTATAATAAATATGTCTTGGGATGTGACAGAAAAGGAACTAGTGTGGGGTTTACAGATAAATACAGTCACATTTGAATTTTAATAAGTAACAATTTTTTACCTGGGACATACTTATACTAAAACTTTGGCTAAAATTCATATTTAAGTGGGTTTTTACTTGCTCACTATGGCAACTGTTAATTGGCCTTGTTTATATTTCCACAGAAATTCCTTGAACCCTTCACAACAGAACTTTTCAAATGCATTCTGCGTGAATCAGAGTACAAAGTGAAGATAGCCTCACAATTAATTATGTCAATGACAAATACCTAAATTATAAACACTGCCCTACTAAACTTTGTCTAAAAAGATACATAGTGGGTCTATATGAATCAAAAAGGTGTTTTGTGCTTGTAACATGGAGAACAATTTAATTTTGTAAAAAAAAATTTAAAGGACTAACACATTTTCTACTCTCAAAAGACTACGTACATATTTATGGGAATTCCTCCTTGGTGTAAACTCCAGTTGGAGTACGTCAGCCTTCACTGATGACAAGCTGCCACATAGGGGATTCTTCCTGTGATGGGATAAAAACCCATGTGCACACATAAAAGTGAAGTAAGAAGGAAGAACGGACAGGGAAAGAAGGAACAATAACTCATCAGTTAAGGAATATTTAAGAGATGAGACTGTTAAACAAGTCTACACTTGTCAAACGGTATTTTAACATTATCACTTTCTAAAGGAACCCTAAGGACTCTTTTAAATGTCTGGCTTTCTGCATAAGGATTACCAATTAAAAAACAAAAAAGGCAGAAAGAATTCCAATTGAAAGTAATTTTTCTGAATTTAATAAAAACAGTTTTTGACCACCTTACCGTGTGTTAGGTGATGGACCAGCCACTTCGTGGGCCACACCGAGGACTGAGGAGCACTGAATGAACTAATCCTCTAGAAGGGCAGAAACATCCAGACACAGTAACATTAACTCCAGGTAAGCGGTCAGGTGGACAGAAAGGAGGGCAGTCTTGTATTGTGGTAAGAAGTCAGCAAAAGCTTCATGGCAAAGTGGCTCTTGAGACAGCTCAAGTCAAGCAGGGATGAATGACAAGGGGAACAGAAGAGAGAGAGGTGGGGGGGGCAGTGCAAGGGCAGAGCCACCTCATCACCCCGCCCCGCCCACTCCTGCGCAGGTCTACTCTGGCACGGACTTGTTCCTGCCGAGCTCTCCTTCCCTGTGCTTTTTACACCACACTCCCAGTCACTCTTCACATTTCCCTAACAGTACTCCTCATCCTCACTGGTGCTGAGCTGGGACTGTCACGCTCTCGGCAAGGCCTTCCCAGCCTTCATTCTAGCTGGGCTCTGTATCATGACTTCAAGGCACACTGTAACTTCATATGCTTCTCATTCCTACAGCAGAGAATCCCATGTGCTGTTTAACATGTAGCTGACTTGACTACACATTCCATGAAAACAGGGAACTTCTTTTGTCTTGTCTGCTTTTGTAGTTCCGGGGTCACTCTTAGCATAATTAGCATACTACCTGCCTCACAGAAAATAATAAATGACTGATGAATTACTTGTGGTTAATAGATTTTGTGTATGGTTGAATACTTTCTGGTGGTTTGGTTTTTTTGGTGCCAGGGATCGAACTCAGGACCCTGAGCTTGCAAGGCAGATAGCGGCACCACTGAGCTAAATCCCAGGCTCTTGTTGAATGCTTTTAAGTATCTTCACAAAGTGAAAGCTATGTCAAATTACAGGGCTCATTAACAAATTTACACAGCAAATGAATAACAGATTTGTGTAATTCAAAGCAATTTCACATACATAGTACGTAGTGGTTTTTTCAAATGTGCTAAGTACAACTGTCTTAAGGACAGGAAAACTATAAATTTAATACAAAAACAATAAAATCTCAGTGGAATACTAAAACAGAAAGCTACAGTCTTAAATATCATACTCTTTATAAATAATACCTTTAATTTTAGATATTAGAGAGTGCCTTTATACTTTTACTTTCTTAGTCACATGCAAGAGATATCTGAAGTTTAGGTAAATTCCAAATATGCCCAATATATGAACTGTATGTCTAGGCAATATTCACTTAATTTTGTAATCTCTTCCAGCCCCCAAATAAAAAGATTTAAGCAACGTTTATATAGCTCTTCAATGAATATGTAATTTTGCTCTCTTTAGAAACATTCGAATACTTCACTACCAAATTTATATCAAATACAAGGGTCAGTACTCAAACTGATAACTTACAGTTATCTTAGATTTATTACTTATCTTTAGATTATTATTGCTATGGAAGGAAATCATTAAAATATGTAACATATAAATTTAAGATTGACAGGTAGTTCCAACTAGATTTGAATGATACCTTTTTCATTTTTATAATTAAGTTCTAGAAATATTTATAGTAAAGACTGAAGAATATACTAGAATGCTTTGTTTTGTGAAATCTGATTTTCCAACTATAAGTTACTGACATTTGGGAAAAAGCAATCACTTAAATGAAAACTAAAAATATAAAGCCTATGTTTAAAACATGGCCTTTATTAATACTGACTGCTGAGCTTCATTTTTATTTTACATTGAAATACTTCTGCTTTGCAAAGAAAAGACAGAAAAGTGCATTTTACAGGGGTACTTTTTTGTTTTTAATTCTCTGAGAAGATGGAAAGAATCTGAATCACAAATTCACAATATGGTAAAATGAAATTAAGAAACAATGGTATCAGCAATGCTATGCGCCATCACTAGGGTTAGCTCTTTGTTCTTGTAAATCAAATCCTGATATACAGTCTAGAGCATCTAGATTATTACTCTACAGCATATGAAACACAGAAAAGGAGGTTTAAAAAACCCTCTCAATGTATAAACATGAATTTAAAAATTGTTCTTTAAAAAATCACCTTTTTACATAATGTATATGCAAAACTGCTTTAAATACATGATTTTGGGAGAATTATTTACAAGATGTATCAGTCTGTGAAACAATTCACAGACAAAGCATACATAATTGCTTTACTTAGTTGTTGCATCTCAACTTTGGGAGATAAAATTTATTCGGCAGTATAGCAAACATAAAAACTGTGACAAAGCATTTTAAGGGCAACCAAAACTTTGATCCTCAAAACAGTTTAAATACTAGGACTGCCAAAGTTTCTAAGTAAGGACCTAGTCTAATGATCCAGATGCCCATTTACAGCTCTGTTCTGAAGGACGGAGACACATGTCCCTTGCACAGGTGGGGCTGCTAGATATACCCTCCTGGAAAGGGGGCAGCTGAGAGCTAGTGTCATCCAAAGAGTGAATTAACCTAGAATTGTCTTTTTTTCCATTTTATTAATATTTTTAAAAATACATAAAAATACAACATCCAATGTCTGAATAAATATATTTAACAAGTTGCAAGATAATACCTTATTTTACACAAAAATTTCAGCTTTAGAAATCTTGTTAAATAGCTTCATTGTTGTTATATATTTCATTTTTGTATTTTTGTAACAAAATAAAAACTCTGAAATTACATAGAAAAAAGACAAAATATTTTTGTCAAGGGATAAGATAGTCCACTGAAAACTTATTCACAATTCCACTGTACACATTAATAAACATTAAAATATTTGCATAATTGTGTGCTCAAAAGTCCTATAAAAAGTGGAAGACTTATTACAACTGTAGTTTTCAGTTAACTACACTTCCTTTCACAATTTATTTTGTCCCATTTACACCTTTAAACCCGGGCACACTGCTGAATGTATACTTTGGCAGTTCTAAAGAGCAAGTGCTTCCACTAAAAAAAAAAACAACTCAGCAACAATAAAAAACACAAAACATAAACCCCCTACTCACCAAGTGTCCAAATACATGTTAGGGAAAGTGCAGCAGTAACTATTCAGCTGGGTAATATTTGATGTTTATCATGTGCACTTGCTTGTCTACGATTTCATTAACACCTGAAAGCTTTATTATACAAATTCAAATTTGCTAAGTGCCCTTTTTTCTATATCACAAAAATGAAAAAAAGAAAAAAAGAAAAACAAAAAATGAAGAGGGGAATTTTGACAAATATGGCAGGCTGCCTAACCTTCAATTATTTATCAGCTTATCTTTTGCAATAAGCAAAAAGAAGGGAGAAGGAAATAGATAACAATCCAGCCTGGGGAAGCATACAGGATCTACTTAGCAATGTCAAACCAGTTGAGTGCTTTCTGTGGTTGTCTGTTGGGATTTGGGAAGTTATGTCCATGGCAGCAAGGCAGAGGAAATGTTTATCACCTGCATTCTACAGCAAGGACATTTTGGGGGGGGGATGATGATGAGGGACTCATTCCAGTGTCTGATGAAGCTGATGACATGGAGGCCCCAACGTGAGACACTGCAGAATCAAAAGAACTGTATTAGACTCAAAAACACAAACACATGTAGCCAAGGGCAAATGAGAAGATTCTTAACATTATTCACTTCAATCATACACTGCTAGAATGTTATAGGAAAGGAAAACAAATGGCCGGCAAAGTATTCCCTTCGGCTCAAGGGAGTGGAATCAGCCTTTGATCAATTAAATAAGTCAACAGTTCAAAACAGATATCACAGGGCTTGGGAGTGCAGCTCTGGGGTACAGCATGGATTTAGCAAGCCCTCGAGTTCAATCCCCAGCATAAGTCGAATGAGGGGGCACCACACAAAATGCAGAGATAAAAGATGAACTCGTAAATCCCTGCTTGAAAGATCCCAAGAAGGAACTTGGCTTGGTCCAAATAAAAAGGAAGTTAAACCTGAAATAAATTCTCACTATAGTAGGGGATTCTGCTTTATTGTAGAGTCATAAGACTATAATAGAATTCACACAACCCAGAGACTTTCCAGTAACTATCAGGTATCAGAATCATGAGGATGGAAATTTGGGTCTGTGATTAGGAAAAGTAATGCTCAAATGGCTTTACTATAATTCTTTAATAGGATATCACATAGATTAAGGATGACTATGTGTGCATGAGACACTTGACCATTTAATAAAATTTTTTCTTTTATCTTCTCTTGGGCTTTTAGAGTTTTCCTTGAAAAACTCTCCTGTCACCTGCCAATCTTTGCCCAGTTGTTCCTGTTTTACTTTGTTCTAATTTTATTTATTGGTATTTATTGATTTAAGTACATTTCTGTGTATGTGTAACTACCAGTAAGACATGTGACTCATGTCAACAAATTCTTCCACGTGTGCTAGAAACCGGTGTCTTAATCTAATAACTCATTACAAAAAAATGAAAAAGACAAAACAAAACCAGAGTGGAGGGCTCTCTGAAGAAATTTCAATTTACTAATTTGCTCTTTTTTTTAAGAGTAAAAACTGCTTACTGTTTAGCCTTTAAAAGAAAAAGACTGCTGGGAAGACAGCAGAGACTAAGAAGCAACAAATCAACCTCTCCAGACCCTGGAAAATAACAACTTGGGGAAGAAAAAGAGGAAGGAGGTGGATCCCAGGACCCAGGAAGGATCTGAAGGGAAAACTGGTTCCCATAGAGAAAGTAAAAAGACAGACCTCAATGTAGAAAATGGGGGAATCTTCACTTTCTCCCTGGGTCCTGGCTCCTGGTGTGAGAAAGGAAGACTGAATCTATGGAGACACAGTGAAAGTGGTGACTCCAGAGTCCTCCACGGAGAAACACACAAGTGGAGCAGAGTAGTGGATGGCGTGTGCTACAACAGCTGGTGAGTGACTCCAGTCCAAGTGACTGCCAAGTCCTCGGGGGAGAGTGCTTATCAGATGTCTTTTTTGGGGGGGGGGGTACCAGGGATCGAACTCAGGTCCTTGTGCTTGCGCAGCAGGCGGTGAAACCACTGAGCTAAATCCCTGGCCCTATCAGATGTCATTTTAGAGAGGGACCAACTAAACCTGGGACTCAGAGCAACTGTGGGTTGGCTTCATCTCAGGGCTCCCAGTGTTAAAAAGCCACAGTGACTGGGTGAGGGACAACCACAGGAGATAGCCAAGGTCAGGGAGCTGAGGTCAGGCCAGCAAGAGACACCCAGAGTATTTATTATAAACTAGATGACTCAGGCTCTAACCTTACGACCAGAGGCCAACATCAGCCTAAACTTCTGTGTATTTGAAAGCACCAGAACCAGCATCCCACTCTAATCCTACTGCAGGCTTGCTGAAATTATACAGCTAGGATCTGGGCTCTGACTGCTTCCTTAGTTTACCAGCAAGAGTAGAGTCACACCCTGAATGGCACATTACCACAAAAATGTAAATCTCAGAAGATAATCACAGGCTTGAAATCACAGAGAAATTTCTTTTTTTTTCCATTGCTTGTGGGAATTTTGTTGTTCATTTTTTTGTTTTTATTTTCTTTTTGAATGTGAACATTGTTTTTAGTTTGTTTTGTTCTTGTTTTTGTTTATTCCTTTTTTCTTTCTCTCTCTTCTTCACCAGTTTCCCGAGGCTTGGGTAATCTTCCCTTGCCCTTCAGCCTTGCTTCTAATCTCTTTCTCTTCATTTATTTCTCTATTTTTTTCCTCTTATTCCTTTTAAATTTTCTCCCCTTAGGGTAAAATTGCTCTACTGAGTGGATATTTACTGAATAAAATTTTCTGATTTATCTTAGATTTTGTTATATAACTATAAATCTTGTACCTTTGGTTAAAGGCAACAAATTAATAGTTATCACAGTTGGTCATTTTCCAATCTGGGCTTGATGCTATTGTTATTACTGATTGTACTACTTTAGCCAAGGTGACAGTTTTTATGATCAATTGATCTTCCCTGTATGCCAATACCAGGCTTGTCTGACGGGCATAAACAATATTATAGTCCAGTACCAAAGGACTGGGAGCTAGGCCAAACACGCAGCAACCTTTCATCCCTAATAAATTAAAGAGGCAGGATCCTGGGATAGACTTTCAAAAGCCAAAAGCCAGCTGCACTCAGAAGACATCTCTGAAAAGTAATCATTTTCTAAAGAGGTCTTGATACTAGTAATAAAGCCACCTATCATAAACAATTTATAAGCCTCAATAAAGAAAACAAATAAACAAAAAAATAGAAAATGAGAAAGCAGGGAAGCAAGATGCCACTCATAATCCCCAACTCACCCGAGGCAAATCAAAGGAGTATTAAGGAAAAAATCAAAACCCACTCAGCTGAATTCTATGAAATGGTACCAGCAGAAGTAACAAAACAGATCAATAAATCTTGACAAAAACAAACGAACAAAAACCAGAGGTAATTAAAAGAGATGATGACCACAATGATGGAAATGATTAGTGAATCTAGAGTAGATACAGATAGAAAAGAAACAACTGGAGGAGCTTAGAAAAGACATGGAAACCAAGATGCCCAACAAAGAAAATAAGTAAATTCCATAAAACAGACTCCAATTGAAATCCAAGAGATTCAAAAATTCTACTGAAAGTATACACAGCACAGTCAACCAATGTGAAGACAGAATATCAAATCTAGAAAACAAGGTTGTGGTTGGTGATCATCAAATAAAAGAACTCCTAAAAATAACAAAGGACCATGAAAAATCAATCCAACAACTAACTGCTAGACGATGTAAAGAAGACTAATATAACATTAATTGGAATCAATGAAGAATCAGAAGATAACACAAAGGACATAAAAAAAATCCTGTTCACCAAAGTAATAGCAGAAAACTTTCCAAGCATGGAAAAAGAATTTGATATACAGATAAGTGAGGCATATACAACTCCAAATAGTCATGACTAAAAAAAAAAAATTTTTTTCCCAAAGCATATGATAGACAAGACTCCAGAAATACAACAGAAGGACAGAATACTAAACACTATTAAAGAAAAGAAACAAATCACCTATAAAGGAAAACACATCAAAATCACAGTACGCTTTCCAATTCAAACCCTTAAGTCAAAATCAGCTTGGAATGAAGTATTTCAAATCCTAAAAGAAAACAACTTCCAACCAAAATTATCATTCAAAATTGATAGATACTTCTATGATATAGAATACCTGAAGAAATTCGTGAGCACCAAACCAGCACTTCAAAACTTTCTGAAGGATGCTGTAGAAAAAGAGAACAATTCCAAGAATCTCAATAGAATGATTCCACCAGGTAAGGCAAGCAATTAAACAAAAGGGAAAGAAAGGGAACCAACAACAGGAAAATAATGACAAGGATATGTCAATACAGATCAGTTATAATCATGAATGTGAATGGTCTCAACTCACCAATCAAAAGAAACAGATTGACAAAATGGATCAAGAAACAAGATCCAGGGCCGGGGATTTAGCTCAGTGGCACCACGCCTGCCTTGCAAGCACAAGGTCCTGAGTTCGATCCCTTGTACCAAAAAAAACCAAAAACCAAAAACAAGATCCAACAATATGCTCCATATAAGAAACTTTTTTTTTTGGTACCCCAGCCCTAAAAGAAACACTTTTAACCCAAAAAGAAATTCATAGACTGACAGTAAAAAGATGGAAAATAATATTCCATATGAAAGGAACCCAGAAAAAAACAGGGGTAGCTATTCTATTTACAGACAAAGTGGATTTCAAGCCAGGACTGATCTGAAGAGCCAAAGGAGGTCACTACATATTGTGAAGGGCACAATCCAAGAAAAAGAGATAACAATCATAAATATATATGCACCAAATACTGATGCAGCACCTATATAAACACTAATGGATATCAAAAATAAGATAAGCACTAATATAATTGTAATAGGGGACCCCAATACGCCACTGTCACAAATAAACAGATCAACTAGACAGAAAATCAACAAAGAAATATCAGAGCTGAACCAAACCTTTGAACAAATGGGCTTAGTAGACATTCAGAGTGCTCCATGCCAATATAACATACCAGAATGTATGGAATGCAATGAAAGCAGTCCTATGAGGGAAATTTATACTGGTGAGTTCCCATGTCAGAAAAACAGAGTGTGCTCAAATAACCTAATGTTGTACCTAGAAAAAGAAAGAGCAAGTTAAACACAAAGCTCATACGAGGGGGCGGGGGGGGGGGGGGAGGAATTATAAAGATCAGAGCAGAAATTAATGCAACTGAGAGTAAGAAAACAATATGAAGAATTAGTAAACTGAAGAGTTGGTTCACAACGGACCCTCCAAAAATCCAGAAGATCATCAATATCTACTTCGAGAACCTGTACTTTAATAAGATGGAAAGTGCAGAAGAAATGGTCAGATTCCTATATACATATGAATTACCAAAGCTGAATCAAGAAGCTATAAAAATCCTAAATAACCCAGTATCAGTCAATGAAATTGAAGTAATTAAAAAAAAAATACCAACAAAGAAAAGCCTAGGTCCTGATGAATTCACTGCTGAATTCTACAAGAACTTTAGAAAAGATCTAATGCCACTACTCCTCAAACTCTTTAATGAAATTGAAACGGGAGGATTGGGATGTAACTCAGTGGCACCACACCTGCCTGGCAAGCGCAAGGGTCCTGAGTTTGATTCCAGTACCTGGAAAACAAAAAAAGAAAATGAAAGGGAAGCAGTATTCTCAAACTCATTCCTGGAAGCAAGCATTACCCTGATACCACAGCCAGAGAAGAACCCAATCAAAAAAGAGAACTACAGGCCATAGATGCAAAAATCCTCAATAAGATACTGGCAAACAGAATGTAGTAAATTATCAAAAAGATTATACTCCATGACCAAGTAGGATTTATTCCAGAGACGCAGGGATGGTTCAACATATGCAAACCAATAAATGTAGTATACCATATTAACAGAACCAAGGACAAAAACCACATGATCATGTCAATACAAGCAGAAAAAGCACTGGACAAAGCCCAACACCCATTCATAACAAAAAACATACAGAAAATTGGAACAGAAGGACTTTATCTCAATATGATAAAAAGCTATCTGTGAAAAACCAACAGCCAACATCATACTAAATGGTCAAAAACTGAAAGCTTTCACTCTAAAAATCAGGAAGGAGACAAAAATTGCCCACTATCACCACTCCTGTTCAATATAATTCTGGAAACATTAACCAGAGCAGTTACACGAGAGAAAGAAATAAAAGGAATAAGGATAGGAAAAGAAGAAGTTAAATTATCGTTATTTGTGGATGACATATTCTACACACCAGATCCCAAAAACTCTACCAAAAGACTCTTAGAATTAATAACCAAATTCAGTAGCATAGCAAGATACAAAGTTAACATTCAAAAATCAGTAGCCAGGCCAGGGATTTAGCTCAGTGGTTCCAGCGCCTGCTGTGCAAGTGCAAGGTCCCGAGTTCCATCCCCAGTACCAAAAAACAAAACAACAACAAAAATCAATAGCCTTCCTGTACAAAAATAACAAACTCATGGAGAAAGAAATTAAAGAAAACCACATCCTTCAAAACAGAATCAAGAAAACTGAAATACTTAGGAATCAATCTAATAAAGGAAATGAAAGACCTATACATTGAAAACTACAGTATTTTTTTTTCCAGTACCGGGATCTAACTCAGGACCTTGCACTTGCAAGGTAGGCACAGTGCCACTGAGATAAATCCCTGGCCCCTGAAAACTACAGTATTCTGAAAAAGGAGAACTGATGAGGATATGAGAAAATGGAAAGATATCCCTATATCAGCCTAGTCCCTGTTCTTGAGTAGGCAGAACCACTGGAGTGAAAACGGCCATACTTCTAAAACTGTTACACAGATTTAAAGCAGTCTCAATCATAACATAGTGGCACACTGATTCACAAATGCTTTTTTAGGGTACGGGGTATCGAATCAGGACCTTGGGCTTGTGAGGCAGGCGTGGTGCCACTGAGCTAAATCCCCAGCAACAAATGCTTTTGTTTTTGAACGATTTGGTTCACAAATGGAAGTGTGACCACGGAGATCTTTCTCACACAACCATGAATGTGGCCATCTTTTCAGAATTGTGGAACAAATTAAGTTCATGAATTGAGGCACCAGTATACCAAAACATACCTCACATTGCCAGATAAAACAATCCTAAAATTCATGTGGAACCAGAAGAGACCTAGAATAGCAAAAGCAATACTGGGTAACAAGGGGGCAGGGGTCATAACAATTCCTTACTTGAAAGGGATACTACAAAGCTACTGTGATAAAAACAGCATGGTACTGGCAAAAAAAACAGACATAACAATCAATGGAATAGAACAAGATGCAGAAACAACTCCAAGCACACTCAACTACCTTATCTTTTTTATTTTTATTGTTTTGTGGTACCAGGGATCGAACTTAGGTAGGACCGTGCGCTTGAGAGGCAGGTGGTGGAACCACTGAGCTAAATCTCCAGCCCTTCAACTACCTACAAAGGAGCCAAACACCTTTACTGGAAGAAAGACGGCTACTTTACAAAATAGTGCTGGAGAGGGCCGGGGTTTAGCTCAGTGGCTAAAAAAAAAAAAAGATTCTGGGAAAACTGGATTTCCACACACCAAAAATTGCACCTAGACCCATATCGCTCACCATGCACTAAACTAAAATAAAAATGGAGCAAGGATCTAAATATTAAAACTGAAACACTTAATTTGCTGGAAGAGAGAATAGGTTAAACTATATAAGGTATAGGAATAGGTAAAGACTTTATGAACAAAACCCTGGTCACATAGGAAATACTACAAAGCATCAATAACTGGGATCACATCAAATTAAGAAGCTTTGCACAGCAAAAGAAACCACCACCAACAGATTGAAGAGGCAACTCAAAAACTGGGAAAAAATTTTTTACCAGCTAATCTTTGGACGAAGGACTAAATTTAGAATATTTAAAGAACTCAAAAAAAAATCAGACCCCTCCCCCCAATTTAAAGACCCAATCCAAAATGGGCATCTGAAGTGAATAGACATACAAACAGCAAATAAATATATGAAAAAATGCTCAACATCACTGGTCATTAGAGAAATGCAGATTAAAACAACACTGAGATTCCACCTCACCCCAGAAAGAATGGCTATCATCAACCAATAACACATGCTGGCAAGGCTGTGGGGAGAGAGGAACCCTTACCCATTGTTGGTGAAAATGTAAATTGGTACAACCAATATGGAAATCAGTATGGAGATTCTTCAAGAAACTGAAATTGAGAGGTTCCATTTGACCTATCTGATCCCCTCCTAGGTTTATTCCCAAAAGTGTTAACAGCATCATACCACAGTGATGTAAACATACCCCTATTTATAGCAGCACAATTTATAATAGTTAAATCTTGAAAACAGCCCAGGTGCCCATGAATGAAAAGATAAAGAAAATGTGGTATTTATATACAGTGGAGTACTACACTCTGCCAAAAAGAAGGATAAACTTGAGTTGTTTTTAGGTAAATGGATGCACCTCAAGACCATAATCTTAAGTGAAATAAATTGGACATACAAGGTGAAATATTGTATTATTTCTCTTGTGTTAGAACCCCAAAGGGTAAACAAGGAGCACAATGAAGGATGGATTGCGAGGTAGGAAGAACACGTTCAAATGGGAAGGCTTAAGAAGGGAGAAGGGAGGGGAAGGGAAAGAAGGGAAAAGGAAGAAAGAATAGAAGTAAAAAATGGAACAAGGGCCAGGGATTTAGCTCAGTGGTTCTGCCGCCTGCCTCGAAAGCGCAAAGTCCCAAGTTCGATCCCCGGTACCAAAAAAAAAAAAGAAAGAAAACAAAGCCTTTGTAAATAGAGAGGAGAAGAATGGGTGAAGGGAGGGGAGGCAAGAGGAAGTGGAGGCTGAGGCAGGAGGATCGCCGAGAGTCGGAGGCCAGCCTGGGCTACACAGTGAGTCTAGGGCCAGCCTGGACTACAGAATGAAACCCTGTCTTAAAGACAAAGCATACTGCAAATACATCTAGAAATAACATTAATGTGCTATGCACCTCCAGTTTTGGGGATACAGTATTACTCAAGCAGTTACACCAATGTGTTCTTCCACAAGAAAGACATAAATTACCCTTTCCTTGTATTTTTCCCAGCAATCGGCATTAACAACTCTTACACTTTTTCCTACAGTTCTACTGGTGCGTAGTAATTTCCCCTTGCTTCAATCTGATCACTAGTGAATTTGGGCCACAGGGCTCTTAATTTCTTTCCTGGTACTTTAGTAGAGCTTAGGGATCTAGCGAATATAAACACGTCTATAAACACTGAACTAAAAGTCACCCCCATACATTTTTAAGGTCTCACTCAAAGACACTACTCTCTGTGTGATCACTACAAAGTCACCTCTCCTACAGACTCCTAGATTGGTGAACGTCCCCTTTAGGACACACACTGTCCTACACTGTCCCACCTAACTGTCATGTACCTGTATCACCCCACAGGGTGCTGAGCACATGGTGTGTCCCATGCATGTGGCTGAGCTGCATCCCATTATAGTACAGCTGCTCAGCAGGTGACTTATGGCCCCACAAGAGTATCTTGAGAACAAGCCTTATGCCTTATTCACTTTGGTGAGCCTTATAACAACAGAGAGAGTGCCTGTGATTGTACAGCCGATACAGGAATGTGCAGCAGAGTGGATGTCTGAGGAAGGAAGCTCTTCCTGAGAACCTGTGCATTTAGCACAACGGCATGTGCTACAAAACAGGCCTCGCTGCTGTTCCAAAGTCTCCTTCTGATTAATCGGCTATGAAACCACTCATTAAACAACAGCAACAGAGAAGGAAATACTGACAAATATGTACATTCAGAGACCGATAAATCTCCAAAAGTGATAGGACATATATGCTGGAAAAATGGGAGGAAGTTTGATAAAATTACCTTCTCTGTCTTTCTTTTTTAATCTTTTTCTGCGCCTGTCTATGGTTGCAACTTCAGACTTCAAAGACATGTAGTATTTCCTGATTTCCTGTAGTTTTTCTTGGAGAAAAGAGATTCTTTCTGTACTGTTCATGTTATCTAATTCATCTAAAAGGGGAAAAAAAAGTTAACTGGGATTTAAAAATAATTCTGTGTGGAAAAAAAACCATGGTAGTTCTTTTAAAAATTAACAAAAGCTCTTGTTTATTAATATCTATCATCTTACGCTAAATGAAGCTCTTGAGACTGGGAAGACCTGAGTTAAATTCATTATTAAGAGTTGTTTAGGACCGGGAATTTAGCTCAGTGGTTCTGGCACCTGCCTTGCAAGCACAAGGTCCCAAGTTTGATCCCCAGTACCAAAAAATAAAAAAAGAGCTGTTTATATATTCCAGATTTTCTGTATTAAACATGTAATACTTAAGTGATCATAAAAACATAAGAAAATGTCAACATGAAGCACTATATATAAAGGGCACTTCGGTTTCACCGATTTATAAAATTCACACATGCTTCGTAACTGGACATCTTCTTGTAATACTTATCGAGGTGGTGTTATAAAAGTGCACATTTGCATTAAGATAACAAGTTGTGCTTACTGATTTGGAATACCTAAGACTTGTTAATTCATTACTCCTTATTTTATTAGCACTAAGCCAAACTGACAGGTTAAGATAAATTCCAGTTTACGGTATACAGTCAGGTTATCTATGAGCTTCTTACTGAGTTGAAGGGTCCACTTATACGTCCTGGGGGAGGAATTGGGATGCTTTTCTCTTTGCTTCTCTTTCTCTCCATCTTTGATGTGAGGAGAGATTCTGGCAGGAGACCGAGCAAGCTTTGGTGGCTTAGATACACTAAGATGCTTAACTGGAGTACATTTACTTGAATTGTTTACGGCAGGAAGATCTTCACTATCACTGCTCTGTCCTGTAACAGGAATAACAAAAGTTTACTTAGAGACTACCGTTTATAAACCCTCAGAGAGCAAAGTGGAACAGATCATGCCATTACACTTCTTAGTATCAGAAAAAAAAAAAAGTATAAACGCAGAGGTTTATAGCAGTTTAAAAAAAAGAAACACGCATCAGTATAAAAATGACTAAAAAATTATGTATTACTGAACACTTTGCTAAAGTTATTAAAAAGAATGAGCTAGAGTTCATTAGAACAAAAATGGCAAGCTAATATATATTGTTAAATGAAAAAGAAAGGTCATAAAACAATATAGTACTACTCAATTTATATGAAAGCAAAACATAAAAACAATTCAAGAGAGGACCAACTCAAACTGTATATAAAGTATAAAAAAAAAATCTCGATGATACATACCCAACTTTTAAAATAGAGTAAAATGTGAGAAGGTATTTTTTTACAAGCCTGCCTTTCATTCTCACCAATCTATCCTAGGGGAGGGTTTGGTTTTCCATAATAACAAGGTGGAACTCTCAATTTTTCTTTTTTTTTTCAAACTCTACATCCAGTATTCATTTTCGAAAGCCAAAAGCTAGGCTTGCCTACTGAAAAAGCAAAGTTGAAGGTTGCATGCTCAATTCCCCATTTCCTTTCCTATCTGTTCTAATTGTTTTTTCACCTCAAAAAGAGAAGTCTTTTTCTGAAAGAAATAATCTCTTCATTTACTCTTAGAACTATCTACTCCAGCTCCTCTAGAATGTCCCTACATAAATTACACGTTTTTTTTCCTTCAAATTCATCCATTCCCAGAGGCTACTCCCATGCTTAGAACTTTCCTAACCTTAGAGAGGACGGGAGGAGAAAAATTTCCTTTCAGTGGACACTTCCTTCCCTTTTATTAGGGTCACATTTCTTTTCTTTCTTTTTTTTTTTTTTGGTACCGGGGATCAAACTTGGGACCTTGCACTTGCAAGACAGGTGGCGGAATTACTGAACTAAATCCCTGGCCCAGGGTCACATTTCTTGAAAGAAAAACTCTACTCTCCTTACCTCCAGACCTTCTAAGCTCACCTCTGTGCTCTTTTTAAGGGCCCCAAATACTACTGGCCAAATTCTATAGTATTTAAAACTTCTTATTCCAACTCACTCAGCATTTACTGACCATTGCCTCTGGTCCACTTCTACACTCCTGTACAAGGTTACCCTAGATAGTCTTACTTTTGGTCCTCTTTCTTTTCATTCATACGTGAATCCTACTGATTTCTCAAATCTTTTTATTTTGTCCTTCCTTTTATTGCCTTAGTGAAGCCAAAGATTCTTTTTTTTTTTTTTTTGGTACTGGAGATCGAACTCGGGTCCTTGCACTTGCATAGCAGGCGGCGAAACCACTGAGCTAAATCCCCCAGCCAAAGATTCTTTTTAAATCTTTTAAACTTTTTAGTTGAAGTAATCTTCAGACTTAGAAAAAAATTGTATAAACAACATCAAAAAATTTTATCTAACCTATTAGACAGTAAGCAGTCTTGCCACCCTTGAGTACCTGTGTGTGATTTCTTACAAAAACATTCTCTGGGTGCTAGTTATCTCCTGCTGCATTATACATTAGCCCCAAACCCCGAAGTTTAAAACCACAAGCGTCTGAAACAAACATGTCCTAGTGTCTGAGGGCAGGATCAAGAAGCAGCTTAACTGTATGACCCGGTTCAGAAACCTCTTGAGGCTGCACTTGAACTTGGAGCCAGGCCTTTGGCACAAGCTGGAGGATGTGTCTCCAAGACGCCTTGGACAATCCCCAGCCCCTCACCTCGAGGGCTTTTCGGTTGCCCGAATGGCCTCACAGCACGGGAGCCAACTTGCCCCAGTGGAAGGGATCCGATAGGCAGGGAGGACTGTGCAGTGCTTGTTGTGATCTCTGAAGGCACCACCACTTCTAATGTTGGAAGCGGGTCCCACCCTCAAGGGAGGCGAGTGAGGGAGGATACACTTCTTGAAGAGAAAACAATCTCTGAATTCGTGGCTACGTCTTTACAATCACCATTAATGCTACAGAACTATGACGCAGCGGTCAACATCTAATCCCCAGAGCCCTGCTTGACCCAACCTACACCTCATAGCAATGGGACCCAAGTGCAGATCATGTATTATTTTGGTCACATCTCTTAAGACTCCTTCAGGGCTGGGGATTTAGTGCAGTGGTTCCGCCGCCCGCCTTGAAAGTGGAAGGTCCCAAGTTCGATCTCTGGTACCAAAAAAAAAAAAAAAACTCCTTCAAACCATGTGGCTGCACTCTGGAGGCTGAGGCAGAAGGAGAGCTACCAGTTCAAGACCAGCCTGGACTACACAGTGAGATTCTACCTCAAAAAACTAAAAAAAGAGAAAAAAGTGGCTATTTTCAGAAAATAATAAACCAATGATCAAACCACCCAGCTGCAGGAACGACTGCCACTGCACACTGGTCAGCACGGAAGCGCCCACCTGCTCCATTCTTTTCCCTTTTGGCCGCAGCACTTGTTCGTTTCGGGGTACGCTTTTGTTTTTTTGCCATTAATCCACCATTTCCGTCACTTGGCCTTTTGTGACCTGAAAAAAGGGGAAAGAGAATTTGAAGAAAAAGAAAAAAGAGCAGAGGTTTATTTACTTTACTGTACACTGATCCCTATATATACAGGAAAATAAAAGGCAGTACTTAAAACTCCCAGCATCCATGTTTGGTTTTAATGTAAGGCAAATTCTTTCCCTGGCTAGTCTTACCCTTCTCTCTGCTCTCTCTCTCTTGTGCACTTAAACTGCAGGCAGCAGGGCCTGAGCTGGCCTCGAAGCTGCTGGCCACAGGGCGCTCTCGCTCACTGGGACCCTCCGGGGACTCCTCGGTCGTGCTGTCCACCTCAACGGTGGCATCGCTCTCGCTCCGCACGCTCCGGGACTCATCCTGACTCAGGCCCAGCGGCGATGCTGCTGCTAAGTCGTGCTGGCTGGTGGGCAGGAGCGCGTGGGGCACAGAGACCAGAGAGCTGACCTCGGAGCTCTGCACGGCCATGTCCTCGGTGCCCGGCTTGTCCTTGTCATCCAAGTCATCCAGGTCCACCTCGTGGCAAACCAGGGTCTCGGGGCCAATCAGCGGCATGGCGTCCTCCTCCTTGAGGGGCGTGCTGGCAGTCTCTTTGGTGTGGTGCTCGAGCTCCTCACAGGCCAACTCCTGTCTGCACTGGCCGGCCTCGGCTGTCAAGGACGGCATCCCTTCATTCTCCGGCTCAAAGTGCTGTTCCAAACGCAAGCTCTTCATCCCCTCGGATCCAATACAGTCACTGGTCCTCTCCTGAGAAACGCTGTTCGTCATTCCCATCCCATTCTCCATTCTTAGCTTCTTCTCAGGTGATGAGTGTCCTAGTATTTTCCGTTTCAACTTCCTTTCTTTCCCATACTGGTCGATTTCATCTCCGGCAGCAGAGGAGAAGTTTTTACTGTCTAATGAAGAAAATTCAAGACTATGAGCTTCTACATGAGGCTCACTTCCTGTGTCACCCTGGCTGAATGATGAAATCTTTATAATTTCTAAAGAAATATCTTTTGTTTTGCTTCGCCTTCCCTTGCCTTTTGGAGATTTTTCTGCCTCCTTTTTCACTTCCTCCCCCTGTTCCATTTTGTTTCCAAAAAGCTGTACTATTTGTTCATTCTCTCCAACTTCCAGCTGCAGGGTTTCTAAAGGCTGCACTGCTACTCTGTCATTTTCTTTTACCATATGTCCAGCTATCTTTGGGTTTTCTTCATCTAGTTTGTCATCATTTAAATTTTCATTTTTTTCTAATTCTTCTTTATTATCAGGAAAAAGTTCTTCATTTATCAAACTCTTTTCTAAAGGGTCTTCTGTTTCACTATCAGATGAACAAGAGTCTGCAAAAGGAAATACTGTATTAGTCAGGCTTCATTACTAATTTTATAATAAAACTTTATGATCATGTCTTAATAATGTTGTATTGTAACAAAAATTCCTCTTAATCATAGGCCTTTGAATATTCCCTATACAAGCTGGGTATGGTGGTTCACACCTGTAATCCCAGCACTCGGAAGGCTGAGGAAGAAAGATCACAGTGAATTTGGGTCTGGGCTGCACAGCAAGTTCAAGGCCAGCCTGAACTACACAATGAGACCCTGTCTCAAAAAGAAAAACAAAAAAGAATACTTCCTACACAAATTTCCTATATAAAATAAATCATGACATTTGTACTGAATTTTAGGGAGAATTTCAAAGTAAAATGTGTGAAAATATATTACATAGAATATTCAATTCTGTGTAAGTAGCTACTTTGTAATCTTCATTAGTATATTTAGACCACAGTGTAGCATAATAAAAAAAGTCAAAGGACTAGTAGTGAAATATGAATATCTTAAATGGTCTGACCTAAGATCTAGTAGATACTGATTAATATGTATGATGGTCACTTTGTGTGCTAAGAAGGGAATATGATATTTCACTTAATTACGAAGAGACATTTAAAATGAGCAACATGAATTCTCAAAACTTTAAATATTCTTATTAACAGACATGAAAGTCCAGGCAAGCCACCTGCTTGCAAAAGAAATCATTCCCTTTACATTAGACAATTCTTTAATAAAGCAGGATTCCAAGACCACGTAAGAACTGTGAAACATAAACATCCTGCCCACATCACACTTATATACTAAAGTTCAAAAAGGCAAACGCTGAATGTATTTTTTTAAGTGAAAAAAGTGTATAAATTTTTATTTTTTGGTTGTCATAAAATTCATTTTTCTCATGTTAAAAAAAAACTTCTTTCATGAAGTAGTTTAATAAGGGTGCTATGTTTATTAGCATCACACTCTAAGCAACTGAGCTAACCAGCCTAGCACTGAGGCTTCTATGTTTAGTTGTGTAGGTTGTACCCTACATAAGGACATGCCACCTAAGAGAATAGGTTTTACTTTGTGAACATCTGTGCATCTGTGTATTATGGCAACATTCCAGCAGATGGCAGTGAAGAGAAGAGATGCCTGCTGGTAACTTGCACAGGGCACTAAGGGTAGCTGGACTGACTACTGGTGACCTGTGGTTCACAGCATTTCTCTTGAGAAAAGGGGCGTTGTACAAGACAACCATTTAAAATGTCTTAAATTACAAAGACAGAAAAGAATAAAAGCAGAATAAAATATCTGCACCTATACTCATCACAAAACATGCCTATATGGCTGTGCGTGGTGGTACACACCTACAATCCCGGCACTTGGGAGGCTGAGGCAGGACTGCCATGAGTTTGAGGCCGGCCTGGGCTGCATAGTGAGTTCAAGGCCAGGCTGAACTACATAGCAATACCCCATCTCACAAAATAAAAACAAAGACAAAAACAACAACAACAAAAAAAACAAAATAAAACATGCCTATACCACAAGCTTTGTTGACAGTTCTTAGGTGAAGGGCTCTAAACGTACAGGAGATACTGGTGCATGCTTCAAAAAAAAAAAAAAGCACACAGTAGAGACCATGAACTTTGCTCACTATTAAAATGGAATATTTCTAAGCTATTAAACAAAAGGTATTCCATGGCTAAAATATTCCTAAATTTTAAATTTAAAAAATAGCAAAATGAGCTTTGGCTTCAAGTTAAATTTTGTAGTTTAAATCATATGAGATGAAAACCTGGGTGATGAACTAAGAAGCTTCCACACAGTGCAGTTTCACAGTCAGGTGCCACACAGTAATGTTCTGGGTGGCGACAGCCATGCACATGCCTGACAGTGGCCTTCTGAGATCACACTGCCCAGGGGCATTGGGGCTGCATATGGTGTGCGTGTACTTCATGATGCCTGCACAAGGACCACACACTTCTCAGAATGTATACTCACTGTTAAATGATGCATGACCATATAAATATTTTTGTTTTTTAAAGTATTCAGTGACCCTCGAAGTCAAGCACCTTCCATTCCAACTGACAGGGGAGCGATGGGTGGCCAGTACCTGATTTCCCTTCGCTGTGCACTGCTGTGGGCAGCCCAAAGGGCACGCCCGAGGGCAGGCTGGATCTCAGAGGGGGCCGCCCACGCTTCGTCCTCTGCCTGTCTTCCTCCCTCTTCTCATCCTTTTCACTATCTTCTTTATTCTGGGCAACAACAAAGAAATGTGTGAGAAGGGCCAGGGCTTATGGAAAAAAAACATTCTACATCTCCCAGGAAAACTATAATTCACATAAACACACACACACACACACACACACACACACACACACACACACAGGGTCAGTCGTTGTATGTTGACTCCTAATTTGTACTTACAGAAAAATTAAAGACTTTTCTACCTATGGATGTGACTCTGATGTTGTACAATCTGAGACACTGCACTTATCTTGCCGTACCACTGCTGGGCCCTTCCCCTGCCCCTCCTGTCCACTGGAGACCGAGAAGCTGCCAAAGAACCAGGCAAATCTGCAGCACAGAGGCAGGAGCCTGAGGGGGTGGATAAGGCTTCAAGTGCCCAGCACTTGTGTTTACAACTTTACTATTTGCTCCCAATGTTTAAAATCAGATTTCACATTTTTAAAAACTTGGTGGTTCCCCAAGTCCTCAAATTCAGCAACCCATGGGCAGCACACCCGCAGCAGAAAAGTGGTATACAATATCCCTACTGAGAACTGAGCGCTCCCATTTGGCACTGCCCGCCTGACTTTACCCTTTTCCTATAAAGAAAGGCTCCATGGCATGAGTTTGAAACCCAGGCTCCAGGGGTTGCTGGTTATCAACTCTTCATCAAACGATGTGGTATTGTATTTAAAATTTTTAGTTTATTAGCTCCCGAGTTAAAAAGAAAATATCTTATCGAGATGAGATGGTTATTACAGTGAGAAGGTAAGATCTATAAAAAAACAACACCGAAGCATACTTCTAAGTAAAAGAAACCAATTTGAAAAGCTATGTTTTATGACTCTGGCTATACGACACATGAAGATGAAACTACGGAAAGGGGAGAGAGTAAAGTATCAGCAGCCGCCGACATTCGAGGCGAGGTGTGGAGGAGACTTGGCCAGGCACAGGGCATTCCTGGAGACAGAACTGCTCGCACGACAGCAGAATGCTGGACACGTCCTTGCACACCTGTCCACCTTACAGAAGGGCCACACCTAGAGCTGGGTTGCACCTTCAGTACACACTGCCCCGATTTAAATCCTGGGTCAATGCAGGGTCATTTTTTTTTTTTTTTTTAAACAAATGCAGCGCTCCGGTGGAGGATGACAATGCACTTAAGGGGCAGAGGCTTTATCCAGGACATCACTGTACCTGCTCCTCAGTTTCCCTGTGGCCCTTTAACTGCTCTAAAAAGGGACAACATCTTTTAAGAAAAGATACAATTGGAATAATTCCTATGTGCAGCAAAAAGAATATGAACCTACAAAGATACCTTAGCTTTCTTCTTTTGTTTTTTCTTTGGTCCACCTTTGTCCAAAGGCCAGATGATCCTGTCAGCCTTCACCCACTCATCATACCTTAAAAACAAAAGTGTAACATTTCACAGTGACACCCTGTTTGAAATATATTCACCGGACTAAAACAACAGTGAGATAAAAAGTCTGTTTCCAGTACTGGCAGGGATGGGAAAGGCGCAGGGCTGGAGCTCAGGAGACCTGTGCCATAGCTGTACTGGGCACCTGTGAGTCTGCCCTCAATAGGGAAAGGGAAGACCATTCATTCCCTAAGAGTCAACAGCTTTAGAGGGCGGTGTGGGTAACTGACTCCAAAAAGATTCACAACTATTCACACTTCTTTGTTTTCCACCATTCCCATAGATTTGACATTTTTAGCAGATTCTGTACTGCTTTTTATTCTATTAGAGAATAATAAAGAGAAATTAGATAAATCCAAATCGGCAATATGACTGGTTCCAGATTATTTTATCAAATCTTTTGTAAGTTCTCTTTTCCTCCCAAGAATTCTCTCTAGCTTCTAGTATTTCTAATAAAAATTTTGTTCTGAACTGTGTCATCTTTAAGGCCCTGAGCTTTCTAAGAGATACATGATTATCTTTATGTAAGTTAGTTCTGTTTAACTCAAGCTGAAGACTCATTTCCTCTGCATCTTTTTCCAAAAGACTGATGTCACTCTTGAATTTCACTTTACCAGTCCAAGTTACTAGACTGAAACAAGTAATTAAACTTCCTAGAAATACTAGAAATAAAATCACTTTTTCTTTCTTTCTTTTTTTTTTTTTCATTTGTTTTTGAGACTGGGTCTCACTATATATCTCAGGCTGGCTTCAACTTTTCAACAATCCTCCTGCCTCAGCCTCTGAGGTGACAGAATTATAGGCATGCACCACCACATGCACCTCTAAAACACATTTCTTACAGACTGCATGTAGTTGTACAGGAATTTACAGCATTCAATCAAAATCTAAGATCTGAATATTTAAGTAATAAAACTACAGGCAGTCTTCACATGGAAGTGTACCATGCTGATAAACTCACGTGTCTGGGAACTATAACTTACTTTACAAACCAGATACCATGGAAACATGCAAAGTAAGGACATGATTTCAATTTGCACAAATTTCAGCTGTGATGGTATCATGATATCTATATATCATTTGAAAACACTAGATTAATGCAATATTTAAAGTTCTTTTCCCCTTTTTAAATATGTAAAGCTTTTGAAACAGAACTGGCTATAAACATTAGACTGGACTTAGGTATCTGTAATTCACTTGGGAAGAGTCATCATTTGGCATTTATGAGGACCTACAACATGCCAGGAACTGCAGGAGAAGTGTGGAGAGAATTCAGAACAAGGCCTGGGTATCGTGCAATTCAGTCTCATATGAAAAACAAACACGTAAGAAAATCAAGTACAGTCTGGTAAATGCAGTAAGAGCTATACACTGATCCAGGGGTAACAAAGAGTTAACTGTTCACTTCTCAAATCTCCCAGACCCAGGACTGATCAGGGATAACTTGGTCCAGACCACACTGGCCCAGTCCAAGTGGCACATCATGAGGTACTGCTAGTAGCAACGGCAGTCCTGGGACTTCCCAACTAGAGCCCAGGACTTCCCTCACACTTGCGGTGCTCGAGTTTAGAAATCCAACTACACACTTAGGAAAATAGGCACTGTATCTCAATGGGCAGACCAGCTTTCAGGGATATGGAAGGACACGAGAAATCATGTGAGAAACCAGCAGGTGACTCAGGAGGAAGACAACAAGAACCTGAACAGATAATAAAATGACCACTGATTAGGGTCACGGAAAGATTAAAAAGATGAGCAAGGACAGGAAGGAAAAATACTAGGAAGCAGAACTGAGACACACAAAGATGGTAAAGAGTGGATAAAATCTGAGATGAGAAAGCAGCTATATAGTGCTTCAACTGCAAACACAGTGAGCCAGAGCTGGTAAGCAGTCCTTTCTCTCTGAATTCAACAACACGCGGTAAAGAGAAATTTTAAAAATACATAATCTATTTATTAAGTCCATTTCCTTTAAACCGATGCCAAATTTAGGCCGGGGATTTAGCTCAGTGGTTCCGGTGCCTGCCTTGCAAGTGCAAGGTCCCGAGTTCAATCCCCGGTACCAAAAAAAAAAAAAAAAGAAAGAAAATGATGCCAAATTTAAAAACAAAAACAAAAACAAAACAAAACAAAAAAAACAAAAACCAAGAGTTATCAGTCACTGAGCACTTACTAAGGGCCAGGTACTGTTCTAAGCTCTTTACAGGTTAATACAAGTATTACTGTTATTTTCCAACTTTTCTACAAACAGGCACTTTATCTTCCCCAGTTCAAGTGATGAAGGAATTGAGATATCAGGGAACATATATCTTGTCTGTAGAGAAACTCTGGAGCAATATGGGTAGATCCAGGGAAAACTGAAATTTCCAACACACACGAGTCTCTAGAGAGGAAAGAATAGCCCTTGACTTTCAGGAATTGGCCTGGCACCAGGCTGGGTCTTACGGTTTATATCTAGATGTTCCCCAAAGCCGCATGTGCTGATGGCAGGGTAGGGGTGGGGGGTGCCGATCATGGGGGCCTGATCCTGGATTAGTCCCCTCATGAGTTTATAGCTAACTGCGATTTGGATGTGAAGCCTGGTTGGAGGAGGTGGTCACTGGGGGGTGTGGCCTGAAAGGGTCTGTCTCCCTCCTCTTCCCTCGATCCCTCTGCTTCCTCTCTCCCTTGCCAGGTTCTTTTGCCCTGCCCTGGAGCCAGCTGACTAGGGACCGCAACCTCTACAAACTATGGAGCCAAAATAAACCTCTCCTGCTTTTACTTGTGGGTATTGATTATTTTGTCCCAGCAATGAGAAACTAAGACACTGCTGGGCATTGGTGTTGCTTGAGCTCTTCAGTTTCACAGAACATCAATAACAGAAGACAAGTCTACTCTGTCCTTGTGCCTATGATGGATTAAAAAAAAAAAAGCAGGCGTAGTGGTGCACACGTGTAACCCCAGCACTTGGGAGGGGAGGACTGCAGGAATTCAAGGCCAGCCTGGGCTACATGGTGAGTTAAAGGCCAGGCTGAACTACAAAACCTTGTCCCCAAAAACAAACACACAAACAGGAAAAAAACAAAAATGAATGGAAATATGGTTTAGGGATGGAGCGCAGCAGTAGTGTGTTCCTGGGTTCACATCCCAGCACTGCCCAAAAAACAAAAGGGACTATCCCTAATCATGTCTGAACATAGGGGGAAAAACCAGGAAGAATGTCCAAGCCACCAAAATGACTAAACATTCTTTTTTCCTCTCATGAGTCACTGTTACTACTTCGCTAGTTGTAGCGTTAACCTTGATGTAGGCTTTTCTCCTCCTTGCAGTAAGACTTATTAAGAAAACTTATCATAAAATGAGCCCAGCTTCCTGACCACACCCCGTATCAGAGCGAAGTCTCATTTCCATCAACCTTCCCCAAAGTTCCCTAACCGACGATCACAGTGAAGTCCTTTCCAACATTCTTCTTTATTAATTAACCAAGTTAGAATTATTAAAATGCATGGCACAGCTTTATTTCAGATAAATGACACAAAGTCTGCCTAGCTGGGTGCTGCAGGCCTGACATCTGGACCACATGCTGCAACAGCTTCACAGGACCCTGGGCTGTCTGTCCCCTGCTCCTCTGCACCTTCTACTTCATACTGGGTGCCCTGGATCCCAAGTTCCCTGATCTTCCTCACCGTGGACAAGTAAGAAATCAGCTTCTTCAGCGGCAGGACCTGACAGTCTTTCCCTGGAAGCTGACACAGTGTGGAAAGCAATGCAGATGTCAAAGGCTTGGAACACTTAGAATCAAGGGGCACTCCGTTGATACCCACACACACATATACACCTCAGCTGCTTCAGCTCTTCACAACATTAAACTGATCTTTCCTAAACACTCAACAATTGCAGTGCTAAGGAAATACTTTCTTGCTTACCTGACATTCCATCCATAATAATGTACTAAGTATAAAACTTCTCCATCATCGATTTCAGTGCTTTTAATGCTGGCTTCGTAGATTTTCTGAGTTTTCCCTCGTCCATATTTCACTTTCACTTTGGTTCCTGTTAGACAGGGTTCCGTGTCTTCCTCATCTTCTTCCCCTTCAGAGTCACACTTGCTCTCTGTTTCTTCCCTGCATTAAGTTATAACACTGATAATGCTACTGATAACTTACTAGAGAAAAACATGACAAACGCTAAGAAGAACCCAAAGTGCAGAATATTCACAACCTAAGCATTACCTTAATAACATGTCAGTGGAGGAGGAGAAGAAGGAGGAGAAGGAGAAGATTTTTATGGACTACTTAGGAATTTATTATGCACTGTACCAAAAGTAAATCCATATTCTTAAAGGCCAATCAGTAACCACAGTTAATGATGACATGGAGCCAAACAAGTCACTTTTGATACAGTAAAATGGAACAATATGCTCTGAAAGTCTTTGGATTTGTACTGAAGAGCCACCTGATATGTGAAAATGATGTAAAGGTATTTCAGAACTTCCTACAATAAAATTATCTTAATCTAGTTTATTATTACTTTCTGCCCATTTTAGAATAGCCCTTAGTAAGCCTGGTTTCTTTAGTTCCAAATAATGGACAAGGGCTACCTTAGTAATCATGTCTTTGGCTAGTTCATATTTAAACAATAAATGTTTAAGTATGAGAACACTTCTTGACACTGAATAGCACCAGGAGAACAAGGCTGTACATATTTTGGGTTGATTTCTATTTTTCCACTCTCCTCCCATCAGATCTTCTTTGATTTGATAATCAGATATCAAGGAGATTCAGGTATTCCAACAATATTTTTAACATTTTTACCATAAAACATTCTCCAGGTGGGCTGGAGTTGTGACTCAGTGGTAGTGTACTTGCTTAAGTAGACCCAAGGCCCTGGGTTCAATCCCCAGTGTGGGGTGGTGAGAAAAATTCTCTATTAGTCCCGGGAGTATTCAGATGTGAACTGCATCAAAAAGTATTACAAGAGGCTGGCTGGTTATTTTTTCGCTTGGTACTGATGACTTAACCCAGGGCCTTCACATTAAGCTACATTCCCTTCCCTTTCTTCAAAATTTTAAATTTTGAGTCAGAGTCTTGGTGAGTTGTCTAGGCTATGCTCAAACTTGCGATTCTCCTGCTTCAGCCTCAAGGCTTAAGAAGAGGTATTGTGCTCTACAATAAATACAGGGCATTATTGTGGTGCCCCTTAGAGGATACAGCTCCAAGAAGCTTTGGCAGGCCATTTACAATGGGAATGTATTCTCTCCCAGCATACCTTCCAATAACTGCCTGGAGAGGTACTTTCAAAACACTATGAGAAAAACTAAAACAGAAATCTCAGTTGTTTCCCATTTCTGTGATTCCTACTAAAAATAAGAATACAGACTGTGTTTATTATTTTTCATACTCAAGTCTATGAATTTTTCTCCGAAGTATATCTTTGTTCCCTTTGCAGATCAATCATAAAGTCCTTTAAAGGCCACATATTATTCATATGGACAGATATATTTTGTTTAATGCTCAACTCCAATTATTGCCTCCCTATTTCTCCTAACCCTAATTACACTTCACTACAGAACGTTCATCTTTTTACTAACGTCTACCGCGTGGGACTGTAGTAGCTCCTGTACCTGCTGGCGCTGAATCTAATCACCTCTCCTACTCACTAATTACTCCTGTTTTTCTAAATACACCTCTCTCGATAGTTAGGTTTCAGACGATGTCAATCACTAGTTCAGCAGGTCACCTCTCCTAAAGGTAGCTTCACAATCCCACTTCCAGACAATTTAGCCTCACATGACACAATGCAAAAGTGACTGTGGTGGAGAGCTTGTATTTTCAAGTAAGCGTGTTATACTGTCATTCTTCATTTAATATTTCACTTTTAGTATTATCTAAAAATTAGGAAATCCATTGACAACACTTACAGGATGGCCACCTACAAGCATGGTCAGACATTACCTTGACCTTGCTGGGCTGCCTAACCTTTCACATTGACGTCAATTCAGTCCACACATGTCTAGTATGTGGAAAAACCATTTTCACTCAACAGCAAACATGATGGACATTAAAAAGCTAAAATTTACTGGTGAGATGTGGGGCAAGAATGTATCTTTCAAACTTGAATCAGGGGTGCATGCCACTTATTCTAACACAGTAACTTGAAAAAGAAAACTGTCTGAGACAAAGCTAACACACAGAAACATCTGCTAGTACTGTGCACCCGTGTCTGTTAGCTTTCCCACATTGTACCTTTTTTAAAATGGAATTTTTGCTGTCGCTGTTTCCTCTTGTCCACTTCCTCCATCTTTCTCCAGCTCCCTTCCCTGCTGTCAACTGCAGGACCTTTCTTTTGACTGGGTGGTGCAGCCTTCTTTGAGGCCACTGTTTAGGGCACAAGTGCTATTAAAATGGTGCGACCGGGGTATTCTCCAATTCCGGAAGGCAACACACATCATCTTCACAATGTGTCTCACCTTCATTAGACAAAGGAACGGAAGTCCCAATAAGAAAACATTCCTCAACCCTGAATCTCTAGCAGGAGCGAAGCACGGTCGTACCCGAGACAGGTGCTTCTGGAGAACAAACGTAAGATAATGTACCTCTCTTGGTTCTTCTCTTCCTCTCCCTCTGAGTCTCGGTCGGAGCCCTCTTGCTTTTTGACTTTCTTCTCTTTTGGCTTTGGTGTATTTTTTCTCCCCAATATTAGCCCGTTTTCTTCTTTCTCTGCAGTTTCATAGTCATCGTCTACATCCTTATTTTCTGAATCATTATCTCTTAATTTGTCTTCTGTTTTCTCTTCTTCAATTTCCTTTTTAATTGAATTTGCATCTCGAGCAATTCTCCTTCGTCCCTAGTGAAAAAGACAAAAACTTGAAAACAGTCATTACTACCAAGGGAGAAAAAAATGTAAAAACACATGTTTCCTTTAAACGTTTACAACAATGTCCAGTCTGGTCACTGGCTTGAGATAAGACCCTGAAAACCAATCAATTCATATGTATTTTCTTCTTTTTTGAAAGAATGTTATCACTATCACTAATTATGTCCAGATTTACCATGATCCCTTGCCACAGAGTGCATAAAAAATAAAAATTTTCTCCTGGGGCTAAGGATATAGCAACTCCATCCATCCATCCATCCATCTGTCAGTCTTTTTTGTTGATTGTATTTGATTCTATTTTTGATATTTCTTGATTATAATAAAAATTTCAAGTAAATTCCCTAAATGCTAATGACAAAAGTTTAACAACAGTAATAATATCCACTCCCTAAGTCCTGGCCTCCCCAAAATCTCTGTGATGTTTAATTCTACAGTTTATTACACAAACTTCACAGTGCCACTGTATTTGTGTGTGACTATATTTTAGCAAAACAGTAAGCAGATCTGAGTGAGGATGCGCAGGGTGCACAGGGGAGCAGGAACGAGTCACACCTGCTCAGCCCCTGCAGGCCCCACTGCCCACAGAGCTGGGAACCTTTAAGTACTTTCTCCATCCCTGTTCAACTATATCCCCGCACAGTGGCACAGGGGAATAGAGCAACTGTAAGAGCTGGCTACACAGGGAACAAGAGAGTATGTCACAATTAATATCTCAGTAAGCAAGCTTTTCTCCAGTTCCTAGGTGCTATTCATAATGCAAAGGCAAAAACCAAATTTACTTCTACTGCAAAGCATAAGAACCTAAGTTCCACTGCTGTATCCTTACACCTAGGCCACACCCAGTACCTGTGTTAGGTAAACGAATGAAAACAATTGTGACCTTTCCAAATTTAGGTCTGTGTACTTTTGTCCCAGAAACCCCATTTTCAGAAGTCTGGCTTCTACATTCAGACAAATGAAGAGGATGTTTTTACGTGTGCATGTACTGCAGCACTGTTTCTAGTAGTAAAAAACTAGAGAAAATCTTGGCGAAGATAAATGTTTCATTCATACTAGATGTCTTAGATGTCTGTAGATGTCTTACATAGGACAAGAAAGGTCTTCAGCAAAGACAAGGATGTCCACAATACATAACAGTATTATTCATCTTTAAAAGGGAAGGAAATTCTGCTACGTGGATGAACCTTGAAGACGCTATGCTGAGTGAAATAATAAACATTGTGCAATTCCCCTTATGTCTCCAGAGTTCAAATTCATGGATATGGGAAGCAAAATGGTGGTTGTTATGGGTTGGTGGAAGGAGGAATAAAGAGTTGTTGCTGAAAAGGCAGAGGATTTCAGTTTTGTAAGGTGAGACCACCCTACAGCTGGATGCTGAGGAGAGGTGGCACAGATGCACAACACTTCACGCCAGCAGACTGGCTCTTAAAAGCAGCTAAGATGCTAACTCGTATGTTATGTATATTTTATCACAATTTTATTTTATTTTATTTTTATTTTTTTTGGTACTGGGGATCGAACTTGGGACCTTGTGCTTGCAAGGCAAGCACCAGAACCACTGAGCCAAAACCCCAGCCCCATTTATCACAATTTTAAAAATAAAGTTAAAGTTGAAAGAAAAAAACCAAAAAAACAAAAGACACCTATGTGGACACTTCATGAAATTCACTAGAAGATTCTATTTGCAAGATGACAGTCAGAATGGTCAGTGTCAAAACAGTTTCTGGACAACTATAAAAGAAGGCAATTTCACCTCTTCCACTAAATTTCACTTCACTGAAAAGTAAGACATTTTACAGGAAAAGAAATTCTGTGATAAATCTGACCATGAAGCCTTCACTGAACACTGTGAAAAATGGTGGATGACTTTTTTTTTCATAGATCTTATGTATTAACTGGAGGGGAAGAAGAATTGAGATAAAGCTAGTGTGCAGCTGACCAGAGCTATCCACTGTGCTGTGAAGTCAGAGGGAAGAAGGCACCACATGAGTGGGGACACCCACTCATTCAACAACTTCTGAAAAGTATGTATCATGTGCTAGGCATTACTCTAGGTGCCTGGGATCTGCCAGTGAACAACACAGCCCATGAGCTGGGCACCATGGTGCGGGCTTGTAACTCTAGCTCTTGCGGGGGCTGAGGCAGAATGACAGCAAGTTTGAGTCCAGCTGGGGGTCTCAAAAGGGGGGAGAGATTTAGTTCAGTGTGAAGGTCCTGGGTTCCATCTCTAGTACTGAACACACACACACACACACACAGACACTCCCTTGCCTCTGTAAAATATGATATAGCACAGAACGAGGGAAAGAGAGACAAAAAAACCCAAAACAACAAAAACCCTAACAGAATGCATAAGTATAGAGAAGACAAACATGGGAAGGCGTGAGAACACCCAGGAGAGGAAGGAGGTACAATCTCAGATAAGGCAGCCAGTGAGAGATTTAATGAGGCGACATCTGAACAGAAGACCGGAAGGAAGGGAACATGTGAGACTGACTAAAGACGACAATGACGTGGACAGACACGGGAAAACAAGACAAAGGTTTTTTTTGAGTACAGGGAACAATGTGAGATATATTTAGAAACAGCTAAGCTATGGTTTGGCTGAAGCACTAAATTCTGTAAAATAAACTAGGTGCACTGTAGCACTTTTGTGTCTGTCTGAAAATGTCCACAATAAAAGTTTAAAAACAGTGCTTAAGCCAGATAAAACTACTCTTAATACTCACCCGTGGAGACTTTAATTCGAGCTCTTCTCTTTCACTCTCACTGTTTGAATCAGTAGTCTCCTCCAGTTCACTCTTTACTTCTATCAAAGGCATTTCTTGATCTACTTTTAGAGCCTCTTCCATGGATTCGTCTAAGTCTTTTTTTTCTACTTTTACTTTTGGTTCATGGTGGTGAATGGTTCTAAATTGAATATTTGCAGAACGGCAGTACTCTTCAAAACCATAGAGATACCTAAGCAAACAATATTTTGTTTTAATAAGTCTTGGTCTTTCCACTGAACTTGAATATTATGTTACTGAACACACATGCTCTCAAAAAGATAAGAATCTGGGTCATTTTTTCAAAAGCACTTTTTCCACATTACGAAGTTCTGGGTGTCTTGATAGAATTGTAAACAGAAATACCAATCAAATGAAAATGCTGAGAAAGCTAAGCCCTTAATAACAGAACATAGCAATCAGTTTTTTGTTCTGTTTCGTTTTATTTTGGTTTTGGGTTTTTGAGGCAGGGTCTCCCTTTGTAGTTCAGGCTGGCCCTGAACTCACTATGTAGCCCAGACTGGCCTCAAACTCACAGGGACCCTCCTGCCTCAGCCTCCCGAGTGCTGGGATTACAAGTGTGTGACACCATGCTTGGCAGCTATCACAGCTTTGACTTGAAAATTATTTGCCCCCAAATAGACTCCTTGATGTTATATATTTTAACTTCAGGGAGTAAATAATGCCTGCATCTTGACTTTGGAAAGAAAATCATTCTAACATGAGAAATGGAGTAGACTAGATGCTTTGAAGTAACTTTCAGTGATAAGCATCTACTAGCCTAAGCCTTTTCATACACTTTCTCTAATATTTACGTGTCTTAATTGAGGCCTTCTTCTTATGTAAGTTAATCCTGACTGTTGACTGGACTCAAGAGACTCCTGGAGAGGTGAGCGGATTGTGAAGGCATTAACCTCATCAGTCGGCTACTTTATAACTAATGTGCTACCTGGAGGTGAAGCCTAGCTGGAGAAAGTGGGCCAGGGCGGCATGACTTTGTGAACTACAACTGGTCCCTGGCCCCTTCCTCTCTGGTTCCTGTGTACCATGAGGTAAGCAGTTTTCCTCTGCCATGCCCCTCCACCCTGATGTTGCCTCCTTGGAGCCAGACTACCATGGACTGGAACCTTGGAAACCATGGGCCAAGATAAACCTCTGTTCCATTCTGCTGTGTGTATCAGCTGTTTGTCCCAGCAATGGGAAAAGTGACTAGTGTATTTGTTTAATTTTTATATATCAAAAGGAAAATAATTTCTGCAAATATGTATTCTTTAATAAATTATATTACTTACTTTCTATAAGCAGTTTTTACATTGTAGGAAGCAGCTGAATTCAAAATTGGAATGCCGAGGTCCATATAAATTTGCTTCCATACAGCACCACTATCAATCTGGAAAATTAAGTTTCTGTTTAACATTTTGCAAAGGGAAAACGTCTACGCTAATAGCCTATGTTCTTTAACAAAATGCATTATTAATGAAAGTGCATACAAAAATGCAACATTAGATGAGTAGGTGCACTATTCATCACATACATTTTTCAAAGAGCAATGTTATACTTACATTGTCACATCCACCCTGATGGTAAACCAGTCTAAAAAGTTTGAAGAGATTGAGATCTTTATATCCCAAAACAGGTGGTTTGTTGATTGGAGTGCCTTTTTAATACCAGAGGGTAAAAATAAAATATTTATTCATATGGAAAACACAAATTTCAAAAGAAAGCTATCAACTTCTAGTTCACCAAATTTCATTAATTGGAGGCACATATTTGAAGAACAATTCATAATGACATAAGGTTAAATAAACATTTTCTATATTCATTTTACAGCTTTGTGTGTGTGGGTATCTGGGTGTTGTATTCCTATCACTAATAAAATCACCTCTCTGCCAGGGAAGTGGGTAAAACTAACTGAAGCCTTGGGACTACAAGATACGGCCAAGAATGCTGCGGGTTCACTTAGGCACAGACATGCATCACGGAAAGTTTTAGAATACATAATTCTAAGTTTTAGAGTGGGGTTCATTCTCATTGTTTTAACATAAATGCTAGAGCTGTTGGCAGTAATCTGAAGGATGATTTTGACAGCCACAGAATGTCTACAGCCAGTTTATCTGAAGATTTTCTAGGACTAATGAATGTCAAGGAGTCTGATGATTTATAATGGTTCTATTTCTTCTACCTCTAAGAAATTCTATCCTATTCAGAATGAGATTGATCTCCCATTATGTTTAATTTGTTGACATCAAGGACTGGGCTAGTTTACTTGCCATATTTAGTAATAAGTGTATATCACATTAACACTGTAACTGGCTATTTTCTACTTCTGAATATAGTTTTTGGTTTTATAAGTCCCAGGGAGACTAAGTTTAATTACACCAAAACTACTTTCACACACATTTGTACACAAAATAGAAACTAAGCTTATTTGTATTCCAAATACTTAACAATTATCAGATGGAACGCATCCTTTGGCTTTAAATGAAATATGACACACTCATAATATTAACAATAAGGCACACATCTAGACTATAAAAGAAATGACTATTTTAAAATAAGCTCGAAAATACCTCTGTCTTCCATAAACTTATAAAGCTGTTGGAGGAAGTTGTCCCTCTCTTCAGGATCAAGTTCTTCCTCAGGCTGCAAAGAGAAAAATAAATGAATGTGCAGTGTAGTACACAGGAAGACACAGTGCTGCCTTCATGTCTGCAAACCTAACGTAAGGGGATAAAACTTTACTGAAGCTGGGAGATCTGAATTTTCTCACAATCATACAATGCCAGATTTTTAAAGGTCATTCCTCCTTTTTCAGGTTCTGGGGATCAACGCCCCAATCCAGGGCCTTGCACACGCTAGGCCAGCGCGTCCCGATGAGTTACACCTCTGGGGTTTAAGTCACACTGCCATCCAGCTGGTCTGATGTAGCTATGAAGACACAATGTCCACCATTATCCCATTCTCACACCACCTTTAGGGCCATGACGACAAAGGTCAGGAATGAGGGACAGCGTTGGGCCTTCATTTCATTTGTTCTTTTTTTCTTTTAACCCTAAAAATACAATGTGGCGCAAAGAAATGTGGCGGTAGACAAGCAGAATATTGACAAATGCAGCACACAGAAGTAATTTTGCTGAATGAATGTAAATCAGAGTTAACAAAGTCACAATGGTGAAGAGTTACTGTTTGGATGGTACAACGTTTTATAAAAATTTTAAATGCAATGAAAGAAGCCCTGTACCCCATCAGCCAATCTTGTCCCATGACCCCGCTTTTCTCATTTGCCGTTCTTGGGAGCCCAGGCTATACTGATTTTGCAACTCCTGACAAAACACAATGAGAACTATTTCCCAGGGAAGGAAACCAGGTATGTAGTTATTAATTGGGGTGTGTGTGTGGCTAAGGAAAACATTCTTCTAAGAAACAACTTTTAACCAAGACACTCATGTAAAGGCACAAGATCCCAATCATGAATGTAACTGTATTTTATACCGAAAATGTACCAATAAACTTAATGGGGGAAAAAAAAAAAAAACAACTTTTAGGCCAGGTGTAGTGGTACATTCCTGTAATCTCAGTACTCACGAGGCTGAGGCAGGAAGATTTCTATGAGTTTGAATCCAGCCTGGGCTACACAGTGAGTTCAAGGCCAGCCTGAACTACATAGCAAGACCTTGTCTCCAACACCAACAACCACAACAACAACAAAAAAAAAAAAAGAAAAAGAAACTATGACTATGAAAAAGAAACTAAAACTATGACTGTAAGCATTACCTTTTATTAATTATATAAACCTAACAATCTCTTCCGATACTGTCAAGCTCTTGGCTCTAGCCAAACAAAATGTATTATAGATTTCAATAAAATATTCTCTTTTCTGGTAGAGCACTTACAAACTAATATTTGGCAAAACTGTTTAAAATTCAGTAGCAATATGGAGAAACAAAACACTTATGTTTCTTCCATATAAATGATCATAGCTTAATAAGAGAACATTGCTTTCTTGTGTTGTAAGAATTCACATTTTTGTCTTTTCAAAGCCACACTGAAAGGAAAGGCAATTTTCAGGCAATAAATATTGATTGTTCAGTGTCCAGAGGGCAACAGGCACTTTAAAATTATGTTATCCTTTAAGAATTTTAAGAGCTAATAACACAGCCAAGAACAATAAACACGTAGTCAATTAAAATATATAATAAAATGCCATGAGTCAATCAAGGAAAGGGGTAAAATCTTTCAGTTATTCTTTTTGTTTTTCTCTCTTAGGACATCCATTCAGAATGATTTATAACTGAAATACGTCCAGCGTTATTAATTATAAAGGAACTTAAATCAAAGTTCTCATAAGCCTCAAAAATCAGCAATTTATAAAGTTAGTAATCACTATCCAGTTAAAAGAGATTATCACTTAATTCTCAAATCAAGAGACGGCAGTGTTTTCAACAGGTGAATTTTAAAATCTTGCTTTTACAAGGTTTTTAAACACCAATGAGTTCAGTCAGGAAAAACAAAGACAAAAACAAAAGAAAGAAAGAGAAAGAAAGAAAGAAAAAGAATAAAAGAAAGAAAGAGAAAGAAAGCCAGCCAGCCAATAGTCCAGCGCCCAAGCATCATTTCCTATAGGACTGCGGGTGCAGAAAACAAAATGACTACGCCGGGCCAGCAACATCCTTTGCCTGTGCCGTGTACTCACAATTTCTTCTCCTCACCCTAAGACCTCATTCAATTACTTGTGATCTTACAGAATTCAGTAAGACTGCTGTATCCAAGATATGCAAAAGGAATTCTTTGAACAGGCAGTGATTTAAACTCAAAAGATGTTTCTAAAAACAAACACAATCAACCTATCAATCACAAAATGAGCAAACATTAAGACCGTACCATACATTTAATAAATTCTTAATGAGTAACAAGACAATTTTAGCTGAGAGTGGTGGCCCATGTCTATTCAATCCCAGCTACTCAGGAGGCTGAGGCAGGAAGATCACAATTTTTTTTTTCTGGTACCAGGGATCAAACTTGGGACCTTGAGCTTGTGAGGCAGGGGGCAGCACTCCTGAGCTAAATCCCTGGCCCAAGCAAGATCACAAATTTGATTATAGCTTGGGCAACTCAATGAGACCCTCTCTCAAAACAAACAAACAAACAAACAAAAAAATGAAAAAAAAATGAGATACAGCTCAGTGTGAAAGCCCTAGGGTCAATATTTTTCTTGTGTAGATAAAAACCAGTGGTTTAAAGGCATTTTATCATAAAGTAGTGCATGATTAGAGTACTGTAGGCTCCATGAGGAACGATGCCCATGAAATTGTAACTGTAGGTGCAGTTATTAGGTATAAACACACAAAAAATGAATAAAAAATTCTACTTACAAATACCTGTTTGAGAGGAAACTTCTTTTCCACCAAGAATAAATCAAAAGATGAAGCTATAAGCAAAGTTTTAAGATATCTCATGGTTTTGCAAAAATAAAAATCGCTTAATTTCTTATAAGTATTCTTTGCCGTTATTTTTGAAAAGAGTGGTGTTGCTAGTCCCCTTGGAACTGGGCTTGCTGGAACTCGACGAGAACGCATCTTTCTGCCTGTGGGGCCTCTACCTGTGCCTGCAGCTCTCTGTGCTCACAGCGTCTGTGCACCTGCAGCAGCTCCCTCCCAGTCAAGACCAGAGGTGTCAAAGCCAGGGCTGCTGCCTCTCTCGGGTTTTGGAGCAGGCAAAGCGGAACTGCGAAGGATTCCCCTCCTTCAGTTAGTCAAGCACGTGAAGAGTGAGAACTAAGGGCTGAGTCAGGAGGATGCCCACAAGCCTGGGCTGAGTAGTGCGTTCAGGGCCAGCCTGGACTGCACAGCAAGACCCTGTCTCAAAACAAAACAAAAAGGAACTAAAGGAGATGTGAGGTCCTGTGCGTTCAAGAAAAATTAGATGCCTTTTGTGTTTCTTCAAAGTTCTCAGCCAAGAATGAGTTTCGTGGATTGGAAGGGGAGAAGGAAGCTATTATAATAGTGTACCATGAAGAGGAAGAAATGGCTGAGTTAGTCCTGCATCAGGTAATGGAAGGATCACCCTTGCCCTGAAGGAGGAAAAGGGAGGAGAGAAAGAGAAGTCAAGGATGAATTTTTTTTTTAGTTTACGTCTTATTCCTGCTTATAGTACTCAAAATTCCAAAGCACAGTGGTGCTCGGTAAACTCTGTGATGTTTGGGAGGCGCCTGTTTCACTCCCAACTTCATCACTGTAACTGACATTCAGTTTAAGATGCTCTCGTGGAATGAAATGACATCCGTGCACCTAAATGGGGATTTTCTTCACTGTCTCACGTCTGCTGTGTCTGAGAACATTAACAATAATATAAACTCAAAAGAAACAGAAGGAAAAAGACACAGTGAGAAGAGCCCTTAAGACATAGGTAAGTATGGCACAATCAATCAATCGCTGGCATCTGCCTTGGTCCTTTCCCAAATACATTCATTGGAAACTGTGTATTTATTTATTTATTCAGAAATGGCATAAATTCCAGTGAAGAATGGACTTTCTACCCTTTTGTTGCGATGGGAGATGAATAACCATAATTCTTTAAATAATGCATACTTTCTTTTTGCTGAGCTATTAAACTTTCTTAGACTACTTTCCAGACTATGAACTTAAAAGGTGTTTAAACTGCCAAAATATCTATCAGTGAAAGGTAAGTTTGCTTTGATTTCTATGGAAGTGAGGGTCAACCCAGGGCCTCGCCAGACTACAAAGCCACTGAGTGACATCCCCAGCCCTTGCGGTTTTAATGAGGGGCTGAGGCGGAGCTTTAGCACACAGCCTGGAGAGGCACAAAAACTGACACTCCAATAGTGCGGAGAGGAATGAAACTCAATCTTTCTGGGTTCTTTATACTGTGTGTTGTACATGGTGGCACACAAATTGTCGACATGTACTGCAGCTTTAAGGAACACAGCAAGCCAGGTGTGGTGGCACTCACATGTGATCCCAGCACTCGGGAGACTGAAGCAGGAGGATTGCTGTGAGTTCGAGACCAGCCTAAACTAGATAGTGAGTTCAAGGCCAGCCTGGAACACATAGCAGGACCCTGTCTCAAAATAAAAACTAAAAAAAAAAAAGAAAAAAGGACCTTGAGTGTCCTTTAGAGCTCTTGATAATTATACAATATCCACCTTTTCTTTCTTCTTTCCTTTCCTTTTTTGCAGGGCTTACTTCAGTACATTTTTCAATATCAAAACACTGCTTCCTCAGTCTTTTGTGTGTATATAATATTATTTTGGACACAGGCAGCTTTGCTCCCCTTTCATGATGCTGTCCATCACCCCTCTCTGGTCCTCCTTACTGATCGCCCTGCTTCTCCATCCCTGACCCCCATGAGAAGTCCTTCTATCCCTTCATCTTCTCTTGTCATCCCCAGTAACCAGTGGTGGGAGCACTGGGAAGCAGGAAGATCTCCACTGAGCAGGGGCAGGTGGGAAGCCGCAGCAGTAGCTGCTTAGATGCTTTATGTAACACGTAAAGTTCTCAATGTAGTAAATTACTTTTTAAAAAATGTGAAATAAATAGCAAAACATCTCACTAAGGTAAATGCATAGAACATACATAAGCCATACTCATTTGCTTAAATTCAAATAGAGCCCTCTTTGTTCCTGC